CCACTACAGACTTTTAATATACCTAAATATGATGCACTTTTTAATAAGTATTAACATGATTATCGGTGGTCGGATCTATTATGCTTTTAAAAAAGTTAAATCTGACCTTCAAGAAATGAACATGATGCAAATAGCACATGTTAAGGTAGTTCTCGAGATTGGTCCTGCCCTTCAAGCTTTGCATCGTATTTTTGGGGATTACACCTAAGCTATAAAAAGTAAAAAAAAAAAATTGATCTAACACATCATTATCTAGAGAAACCTTCCCCTCTTTATTTTTCTCACCTTTACCCTTTTCTTTAACTTGGTTAGATTTTTTTGCCTATTTTTCATCTAAATCTTGCTCATTCTCAAAGGATTCATCATCAAATGATTCACCTTCTGAGAAAGCAGTAGGGACATCACCTAAATAGTGATTTGGATCTCTCTTACTTTGAAAGAAAATGAGAAAGAAGTAGAAGACTTTTAAAACATAAAGTTTAAATCAGGGTTAAAATTAAGATTGACTTAGAAGCTTATCAGTAAAAAGTAAAAGTATAAGTTTTTGGCTAATGAAAAAAAATAGAAGAAGAAAAATAAGAGAAAGAAAAAGATTAAAGATAAGAAAAAAAGAAGAAAAAGGGTAAGGGAGAGAATAAAAAGAAGGGTAAGGTCGAGAAGAAGAAAAAATGTGAGGGCTAAAAGAAATAACATAAAAAAAAAAGTCAACTGAAAAAGCTGAACTGATTTTTGACATTAGAGTTTGTGGATTTTGAAGATCATGATCTATTACGGTAAAAAGCTTATCTACCTCATGATAGACCCAATCTCTCATAGCACAAGTATTATCTTTAACTTATTTTTTATCATCGATATACATCATATTCAACTAAAAGACAGCTCGAGAATTATCCCTTCTTGAAGTCACAGAAAAGATTTTATCATCTAAACCTTAATAATCGAATTGACCTCTTTTTGGCTCTACCCTTAAATTTTTAAAACTTGAATAAGAAGACATAATTAAAAAAAAAAGGTACCGAACTAGATGAAGACAATAAGTTCGATTGAAAGAGAATTAAAAAATTTAGAGGTCAATAAAAATATATCAACACAAGAGCAAAACAACTATAAAATGAAAGCCCTTTATGTAGCTAGTAGAAGGATCGATGAATGCTCTAAATCATGCCACATGTCCAAAACAGTTACCAAGGACAACCCTTCACATTTCAAGCTTTAAATTTTTATTGCCTAATTTTTTTTCTTTTTTTATTAAATGTCATTTTCAAACAATAGAATGGCAAATTGATCATTTTACCTACCTACATAGGTTAAACATCTATGACACACCAAGTCAACCATGTGTCAGGTCAAAAATTAATTTTCAAAATAAAAAAAAAAAATCACAAGTCCAACGTCAACCTAGACAATAATAAGCCAACAAGTCATGGTGAAATACGACATTAAACATATGTCACATCAGTAATCACTCATAAATTTACCTAGCTAACCCTCATCTACCTTGGTATTCACAGTCATTCACCTTGGTAACTTCAGGTCAGATTAGTTAAATGTAAATTTAGAAGCCCACGCTCAAAATTAAGCTCAACACCATCAAGCACGCACCAAATTGGCATAAACTAGATCGGCCAAGATTACATTCAATAGTCTAATACTCAAACTATTCGGTGGAGGGATAGAATGTTATGAGCATTTTTAAGTCTAAAAGGTAAAATGATCTTTTCCCCATTAGAGGTTGCTAATAAATAGCTAAGGATATTTATGACTTTTGGATCGACCTGACATATCAAGCCAACCTAACATATATAGTGCCATGTCAACAATTTTGTTTGTATGTGTTTAAGTTTAATTAGGTTATGTTTTACATCAATTGTGGTTTAAAGTTTAAATTCACATAGTTCTTGCATGTCTAAGTATGTTAGATTAGGGTTTTAATTGATTTGACTTATTTAAAGTTTAATTAGTTATTTTAAGTTTTGTTGAGTTTAATTTAAGTTGTTTAAGTTATTACATTTTAGTTTAAGGTAATTTGCATGTCTAAGTATGTTAGATTAGGGTTTTAATTGATTTGAATTATTTAAAGTTTAATTAGTTATTTTAAGTTTTGTTGAGTTTAATTTAAATTGTTTAAGTTATTACATTTTAGTTTAAGTTAATTTGCATGTGATTAAGTTTAATAAGTTAAAGTTGCATTCGATTTTAGTTTAAATTAAGTTGTTTAAATTCTGTTTTGGTTAATTCTTTATCTTTGGATGTCAATTTGAGTTTATATGTTGCTGCATTAGTTATTTCATCAGTTTTGGTTGTTAATTTAATTAAAGCATATGGATTGCATATCTAGGCTGTTGTTTGAATTGTTGCATGTTTAAATTGCTATTGCATGTTTAGATTTCAATCATATATTATTGTTAGCATTAACTCAATCAAGGTTTAATTCAATTTCATTGTTTTTGTATATTTAATATTAATTTGAGGTTTCTTGCATGCTATTAAGTTTAATTCAGTTTGTTCAATTTATATTTGTTTCCTTAGGTTACGATTTAACGTAATTTGGCATTGTTGTATCTTTAATTGATTATTACTTGCTGCTTGTATTAGATTAGATATTGTATTCAATTTCTATTATTGCATGTTAGTTGCTATTTGCATTTAGTTAGTTTATATTTTTAGTAGTTCGATTTTAATTAGTTTAATTAGTTGCATATTCATTATGATTTTTTGAATATAACTAAAGTTGAGCCAATTTCAGTACTTGATTCACTTATTTTCAATTTATGTAGGAATGATCTTTATGTAATACTTGATACGTTTCTATATACTTACAAGTACTTCATCTAGATCACTGATTTATTTAAACACTTTATATATTAAGGTGCTGAAGAGCTTCATTGATCTTTACAACCTTTTTGGCTAACCTAGGAGATTCATTTAATTGTTGTTTTAACATGTAAAAAAGAGCACATAACAAAGTTTGATTGAAAAAATTTGCATCTTTATGCAGGTAGATTATAGAGTACTTGGTGAGATTAGTCTATTTGGGGTCCTGAAAGATTACCATACTTCATCCTCTTATCTGAGATAAATTTTGCTTGCTCAAAGAGGTTAAATTTTAATTGAAGTAATTTCATATCACTTATTGTTTTTAATTAAAAAAAATAGTAAGTGAATTGGGGTTTTCTATTGATGGTCAATAAAACAAGCAAACAAAAAATAATAGGAGTCCAATGATAAAATCTAATTGAAAAAGTTGCTGACATTCATGGTAATTAATACACTAGCGATCTTTATAATACAAGTAACCTTTGCACTTGAGCATTTGGGTAAGTTGGTTGATGCATGTTTTCATCAAAGAAACATGGTTTAAAAAGAAAAACAACTTTAAAAATGAAAAAAAAAAAAGCACAAAAACTCTAGATTCTATAATTTATGGCTGTTACTCCATCCAAAACTTCTTCAGGTTTTTCAATTTATAAGCAATGAAACAAAGAGCCTTTTGAGGTGGAAAACAAGTCTTGACAATAAAAGCCTAAATTTCCTTTCATCGTTGGTTGAAGACAACCTTTGTAGTAAATGGGTTGGAATAGCCTGCATCGAAGGTGAAAGCGAAAAGGTTCACCAATCTTAGCCTTTTACATCATGGTTTGAGAGGTATATTCCACAATGTCGACTTCTTTTTCCTCCCTAACCTGTTGAGGTTGAGTGGTAAAGATTTTAGATTTGGGGATTGAATGACGTTATTTAAGATTTGATTTTTTTTTAATTTTTACAGTTTTTTTTATTATTAAGCTTTTTTTTTATAGAAAATGTGGAAAATTATGAAAATAAAAAATTTATTAATTTAATAGTTAAGTTTCAAAATAAAAAAGTAGTTATAAATTTTAATCATTAAATTAGCAAGTTTTTTATTTTCATTTCTTTCTTTCTATTTTAGGAAGCAAATATTTAACGAAATAAAATTTATTAGTAAGATTATTTTAAAAAATAAAAAGTTTAAATCTAACATACATTAAAAATTTGATCTCATGCATGTCATTTAAAGTAATATATTGTTTATATAGTACATTAAATTTCATTACCTATTAAATTTAGTATAATTGATAAAGAGATCAAGCTTTTTTTCTTATCATTCTATATTCAATTTTTTAGGATCAAAAGTAAAATTTTAAATGCATTAAATTAATATGAAAGATGTCGTTTTTATAATCATTTAAAGGGAGAATCAAATTCAAACAAAATTTAATGATAACCTTGATTATGTTATAAAAAAATATTTATGAAAATAATTGCTAATTGTTATTTTTGATATACAAATATTATATAAACAACCTTAAATTATTCGAATGTCAAGTTACTTACTTAAGTTCGAAGGCTTATTCGATATTTGAAAGGTTTTAAATAAAAATATTAAGCATGTCAAACTAACGTGGACAAAGAATGATAGGGTATTGACTCTGACATTCAAAGCTCAAGCTCGATCTGACTCATTTTTTTAAATTATATAATATATATTATTTTATATGAGAAATTATTTGATACATTATTAGTAAAATTTTTTAACTTCATAAATGGGATTAACATAATGACACATATCTTTTTTTAATTAATTTTTTAATTATACTCTAAAGGTATGTTTTACCTTATTCACATCGTTTGTGGAATTAAAAAACACCATTGTAATATATTTGATAATTTATCAGTTTATGTTATATAAATGATAAATATATATATTAGCGTAAACATAAAAAAATATAAAATTATCAATGTTTTAAATCTTAATAGAAGAAAATAAAAAATATTAAAGATTAAGAAAAAAATATTATGTTTTATTTTAAATTTTTTAGAAAAAATTTTATGGGCGGACCTTACTAGTTAATAATATGAATAAATTTGGATAAATTTTGAGGTTTGAGTTATTAAATCAGGTTGGGCATGGAAAAATATATTAGATGTTAATATCATGTCTCGACCAACCGTAAACGTGATCCAATTGAGCCAAACCCGACCTGGATGACTAAAAATCTTAGCTTGAGCTCGGCCCGAAACCATTAGCCGATCCATAGGCCGGTCCAGTAATAAACGACAGCATTTGGGTCCCAGAGTCTCCACATTCAGACAAGGTGAGTTCATTTCCTTCTCAATATCCCTCACACCCTCTGACTCAGAGACACTTGAACGAGTCGAGCTCCAACTTAGATTATCGAAATGGCATTCACGTTGAGAAGCGTAAAGGTACCGCCAAACTCAGCGAGTTTGGAAGAAGCAAGGAGTCGGGTGTTCGATTTCTTCAAAGCAGCTTGTAGATCAATACCAGCTATTATGGATATCTATAACCTAGACGACGTCGTAACCAAATCCCAGCTCCGTTCCACCATCGCCTCCGAGATCCGTAAGAACTCCCATGTTACTAACCCTAAGGTTGGCTTCCCTACTCTTCATTTTAGATCTTTTTTTTTATTTATTAAATTTGGGTGGAATTTGATTTTTTTTCGGGCCACGAAGATATTTTATTGCTTGTATTTTGTTTCTGGAAGTAAATAATGTTTGGTCCTCTTTTTTGCTTTAATTTTGTGGCAAAATTGATGGTTTTAATCTAATTTTATATAGAATGATTATTTTTAGAAATGGTAATTATTTTTTCATTTGTTTTTGCTTTTAATGGATTATAATATTGTTTTGCTTTTGATTTATAGCAAATTTTTTAAAAGCTAAAAGAAAATAATGAAAAATAAGATAATTCTACGAATGGTGATAATCCTATGGAAATCTGAGTTTGAGTTTTGCTTAGTTGATGTGGGATTATGAGGGGAAAAGTTGGGATATTGTTATTTTTTATTGAATTGGAGAGTATGTTTCCATTTCGATCTCTTGAATGATTGGGAATGCTGAATTTGGACTAGAATCAAACTTACTTCATGTGTTGCTTAAATTTCCTCTTCTCTGATCAGGAAGATAATGTGAGTGAGGTTTATAAGAGTTTTATTGATAGCAGATCGGTGAAGATCACTTTGGACAAAAGCTGATGGGTTTTGTTTGAGGATTGTTTGGTTAATCTGGGTCTTCAATAGCTTCAAGAACAGTTGCTTCAGTATTTTCCATTGTGAGTGCTTCATGAGTGATTTCCTCTGATATGTGGTTCATCTTATGATTTATTCCAGCAAGAGCTCTATGCTGTATTATTTCGGGAATGATCAGCTTAATTTTCTTTTGAATGTCAGTCAATGTAATCTTCCCATAGGCTGTTTTGATTTTGGAGTGTCTTATGTGGGTTGTATAGAGAAAGCTGTGGTCCTAGCATCTTGTTTTTCCCATCTTCAAATCTTCAATAACTCTTTTACTTTAACCACATGATCATGCAGTTTTTTATGGTAAAGTGGTGCAATTTTTCTGCTGATGAAAATGATCATTTGGTTTGGTGGGATAGAATTTGTGCTGCATGGTTATTATTGTTGTTAACCTTAGGAATGAGGTTTAAAGCTTATTTTGGTGTTTTTTATTATGGAAATTGATCGATGAAACCTGCTAGTAGTTGTCTAGTAGATAAACAGTATTGCAAGTTTTCTTTGGAGAAGTGATCAAATAGTTGATGGTATAAGAGTTCTATTGATGGTAGATGATTGAAGATTACTTCGGAGCAAGCTGATGACCTAGTTAAATGGGATTTTTTGGATAAGTTTGGAATTCATAGGCTTCATGAGCAGTTGCGAAGCACCTTATATATTGTCAGCTTGCTTCAGTATTTTCTCATCCAAGTTCTTCAGGAAGCATCTTCTCTTAGCATAGTCGTTCAAATTTCTGAGATGTAATAAAATCTTATAATTTACTCTAGCAAGAGCTGCATAGTTGCTATTGAGTCTCTGCACTTTTTGTAAATTGCTTTGATGTAAAATCTGGTATCTTGTTGAAAGGAGGATTTCCAATCTTTAGAGCCTTGGGAATTAGGAGCACATTCCATATATGCTATAGAGAAATTTCCCAGCCTATTGTAATCCCCATGTTGAGTCTTCAATAAATGTTTTACTTTTGGCAAGTGGTCCTGTTGCCATATATGGTATATTGTGAATTTTCTGCCAATCAATGGTCATTTGGCTAGTGGAGATGGAATTTGTACAGTAAGGAGGTTATGTGAATGAGGTTTAAAGCTTATTTTGGTGTTCCTTATTGATGGGAATTAAGTAATTGACTCTCTAGTCGTAGATAAACAAAATTGCATATTTGTCTTCATGTACCATCACGGAATGTATCTCTCTGCATTAATTTCATGGGTAGCACTTCTATTTGTTGCTTTACTTTGTAATGAATTGTTCAATATCTTATGTGCTACCAAATGTGTAGATTTGATATGTTCAATACCTTAGGAAATGTATCTAACTTACAGGAGCTTTTGACTTAAAAACTAGATTGTGTCCATTTGAGGAGCCTCATTGACTTGATATCACATTCTAATTATTTGGACAGAGCTGCTTTCTGATGATGGGACAGCAGTAGAGTTGAATTCTGGTTTAATCTGGGTTTGTATGTTTGATAAATCGGTGTATAGCTTAATTTATTTGTATTTTCAGTTTTTGTTGGCCTTCCGAGTTGTATAGGCCTGGAATTATGGTAAAGAAAGATTCTTTGCTTTGAATGAGTCATGTGGTTGTGAATGCAAAATAATTGGTTGCTGTGATTTAAAAATACTATTTTTCTATTGTCTTGATAGTAGTGCAATCTACAGGTAATTGATTTGCTGCTCTTTAAGGGTATGGAAGAGCTGGGCAACATTGTGGAGCATGCAAAGCAACGGCACCACATCATTGGTCAGTATGTACTGGGTCGTCAAGGGCTTGTTCAGGATTTGGACACCAAAGATGAAGGCATGTCTGATTTTCTGAAGAATTTCTATAAAAGCAACTACTTTTGAACATTCAATTTTTATGGACATTTCATGGGGTTTGCATTTGAATCTGGACTCGATAATAAATAAATATTGTACCTGGAACTGCTTCAGAACCTTTCTCTGTTCCTTTCTGTTGGGCAAAAGTCCATCATGTTTATTCCTGTAGAAAACTATGAATATCCCTTTTTTTTTTATGGCTGATGTCTTCACAAACTCGGAAAAGCGTGCTCGAGTTCTGGTAAATAAAGCTTATCAGAATTGTGTCTTATATTTCTGTTATTGCATACTTGATTCTACTCTGAGTCCATGTGTTCATTTTCAATACATTTTCAAGGCAGTGTTATCATTTTCTTCATTTATCTTCTTTTTTATATAAAAATGTCGATTTTAAGGGTATCAAAAGTAATTGATTTAAATGGTTTTACAAACAATTTTAAGCTTCTAATTTAATATTCTATTTGTTTATTAATTTAATATAAACCAACTTATAAACTAGTATTCTTATCAAACAATATTATTAGAGAGAATCATAGAAGTCAAAAGTTGTGTGGTTTGTTAATAGCTGCCTTATTGGACATGTTAATAAGCCTCACATGCTCAAACGGAGAAAAAACAAACAATTGCAGTTTGCAGAGCCACTACTGTCTAACCTTTCACATAAAAAAAAAGGGGGTCTGCCTGCTCTGACAGAGCTACCCAAAAACAAAAACAAACCAGCCATAACTTGACCTTCCCTCATCATCCCACGACCCTGAGCACTAACTTTTGCAGCTTGCAAAGGTTTTTTATTTGATGCTTTCAACCGCTTCAATTTCCGCTTTTTCACATGAGGAGGAATACTTGTACCCCAAAAAACTCTCAATACATTCCACAAAATTAATCAATAAAAAAATTATTTAAATACTCATTAATTATTTTTTTTTTTTTTTTGGTTCTTTTAAACCTTTTTTTACTAAGTTACCGGAAATGAATTTTCAGAAATATTTTCAATATACCGAAAATTCATTTTAAAAAATTTCACAATAATTAATCATTAATTGATATTAATTAATATAATTTCATATATATAATAATTTAGTTAAAAAATTCATATTATTAATTTGAGTATATTACAATATAAAATCAAAATAATCACTCATTGATATTAATTAATATAATTTGATATATAATAATTTTATTAATCTACTAAAATGAGATAAATACGATAATCTCATGTTCGAAAACTTTGTGCTCTTTTTTGTACATGTTCGGACTCGAATTTTCAGTCAAATCCTTTGCAAGTTTTTGGTTGATGGTAATTTCCTCCTCTGATTTTGACAGACATAATTGCCTTTCCAAGACCACTCTTCTTCAATTGCCCCTTCGATCTTCAACAGCAACCTCAAGCAAAGCCATCACCTTTTCAACGTGCAATGCGATTTCTTCAAGAGTTTTCTGGTTCATCTTCTTCCATTTCTTAATCTATTGAAATCTCAAACTTCATATTGATATTAGCATTTTCTATAATATTTGTTATTCCACATCTTGACAATTGCAAGGCTCAAAGCTTTTATTTTCTTTCCAGCTTCAACTATATTGTCATCCTTCTCTTGAAAACCTGGTAGGAGACAAGATTAGTCTTTCTTGCCACAAGCTTCTTTGAAATCAGCATATATCTCTTTGTTCACTAAATTTTTTTGCAACATAAGATTTGTAACTAACAATCATGCATAAGAATTTATTTAGCTAATTTCAATGAAGCCAATTAGGAATTAATCTTAATAAGTTTTAATTGTCATTTTAAATTATATATTTTCCAAAAAGAACAAAAAATCTATAAATTTCTATAATAATTTTAATTGCTTTTTTTTTTAGCCTACTTTCAAGGTTCGTATAATGCTGCGGTCATGGTACCTGCCGAAAGCTCCTTTTATACAAAACTATTAAAGAAAATTTATGTATTATCAAAAAAAAAATGAAAATTATGAATAAATTAATTAACTGCTAATTATTAATTCAAAATTATTTACTAATAATGATAGAACTTATCCTTGAAAACGTTACTTATAATTTTATTAGAGCAATCTTTTTTTCTAGAAATTAAAATTTTATTAAAATATGCATATGAAAAAACTTTTACTAGAAGAATATTTTATAAAAAGAAAGATTTTTAATAAAAATAATAGTAAGCATTTAATTAGTTAATTATGAAATCTTCCACTCCTTAAAGTTCTTTTGCAATAACAATTGTATTTTTGACAATTATTTTATGTCAAGTACATGAAAAAGCACTATTAAAAAGGAAGATCAACGATAATCGGTTTAAATGACCAAAAAAAAAAAAAAGTTTGTTTTTTCAGTTTAGTTTTAAATTTATTAAAAAATTATGAGAAGTTAATTTATTATAAATTTCAAGTAAATAAGTCAGAGAGAAAATGTGTTAGACTATACTAAATAAAACCCAAATTTTTTACCATTTAAAAAAATTTTAATGAGGAATAAAAGAGAAGAAAAGAAAATTAAAAATGCAAGTAAAGATTATTCTTTTAAATGGCCAAAGATGCAGTAGAAAGAAATTTAAAAAAAAAAAAAAAAAAAAACCCTCATTAATGATTGTTCCCTCTTAGGCTCCCGAAGTGCCAATGGTGTTTTGGCCCAACAGGATTCCAGTGCCGGGGAATGGAATCTCCAATGTATTGGAGGTTTTCTCCTTGGAAGCTCTTTGAAGTTGATCTTTGATGTGAGAGGAACTTGAAATGTTCTGATGGAACAAAATCCTGCGGCCGGCAATAACAATTCTCCTCATATTGTTGATCTGCAAACTCTATCCGGCCAATTGTTTGATAGCTTTCTTCTACTGGCTCGTCATCCCTTCTTCCACCATTTGGATATGTAGAAAAGGATGCAGGTCCAGCAAATAGAAGCAGACATTGCTGCAATCATTTTCCCACCAACGTCCATCCATGCTTGTCGAGGAACCAAGCAAGGCTGCAGCACAACCTCATATACTTGGCTTCAATTATATATTCCAAACCCCAACCACACACCATGATGCACAGTTAGTTCTTTGTCACTGGCATCACGCAGCTAGAGGACTCTATGTGCTGCAGCATCAATCGCTTTAGGCTCTGCTCTTCTTCATGAGCTTTGGCTATTTATAAATTGTAGCAAGAGATGAGGAACTAATTGACATTTTTTGGGAAAACTAGGACTGAGCAAAGACTAATAAATAGGAAAGGGGAAACCAAAAAGAAACACAAACAAGTAGATTTCGAGCTTTGTCCGAGAATATGCATGATTATGCACTGCCATTGATATTCAGCAGCAAACCCATAGTGATTTTCAGAAACAAGTTAATTTGGTCATGGCTTTATAGACTAACTTGATAGTACAAATAGGAACTTCCAGCAAATTATCAGTTTCTTAGAAAGCGAAGCACAGAATATGTTAAACATAATGGCATAGATGTATGGTTAAATGATGTAAGAAGTTGATCTCTTTTACACCCACAAATCAAAGTTTTTCATGCCATAAAATCACCTTAATGAAAAGGCTTAGTAAGACTTTACATACTGGTTTTTTCTTAGCTGGATGACTTTTTGTTTTAAGGATGATAAACTGAATAGATAAGCATGGTCCAAGAGAAACAAACTTATTAAGCACTTTTTATGAATTCAGTAAATCATAGATAAACATAGGAAAAAGAAATGGATCTTCAATCATTCAGCCAGTATGTCCATAGAGAAGATTGACTGAACTTAAAACTCTACAAGCATAGAATAAGTGTTCTTCCAAAAATTTATTGGGTCATGAGAACAGAAAATGAAACCAAAACCGAGAACTCAGAAACGTAGTACAATATGATATCATGGATCAGATTTTGGAGGTAAAAGCTGATCCAAACATGAAATGATACAACACCTCAAGAAGCACGTTAGTGCTGTGGAATCATCTTGGTAGGCTGTTTGAAGGGAAATTGCGCAATGGGTTCTCCCTAAGTAACTCAGTTTCCCTGCACAAAGATTTTCATAAAGGTAATTAGTAATCTTTTCATTAAGCATCCTTAGCCAGTAATGTAATATAGAAAGTTCTTGTTGTTAGTATTACCTTTTTATGTTTCGGCCATCCAACTCTCTGAGCTGCACACTTGAAGTTCTATCCTTCTCATCATGCACTTTTGGTTGTCTGGTAAAAAAATTTCATTAAAATGTAAGAAAAATTTTAGAGGCAGTAATACAACACCATACAACAGGTCACAAGTATCATTACAGACCAACATTTTGAACAAATGATTCACCTCCATAAGTTTTTATAGAAACCAGAGAGCACAACAACAGGTTAAAGTAATCCATTAAAGGTGGGATATTTTTCTATTTCATCTTGTAGAAGAGAGTTGTGTTGCATACCAGCACAACTGCTTTGAATTGTGAGTTAGTGACTGATAACTTCAGTATCCCAGGAAAGATCAAAAAGGGGATAAATTTCATATGGTGCAAATCATAACTCGGTCTATATATAAAGCATGTTAAAAAGTTATTACTGTTCAAATATCTGTTACTTACTCTGCACATTCCTCATCAACATACACTTCAATATGAGCACTTGCAACTGCACCTATGGTTCTTGGCACAGGTCTCTGAGGAATCTGAGAGAAGAGAGAATTTTGTGAGGCTCAATTTCATTTGCAGAATGATCTGAATATGTTTTGGAGTTGGAGGGAACCTTGTATGATGTCCACTTTGCAGGCACTGCAGTATTTTCTTTGTTTCTCTCAGCTTTACGACCAAGAGCGTGCCAAGAGTTTAAATCAGTCTTTGGCTTGGAGTGATGACCCCTCATGACATCCATACTTGTATCATTGAAAATAGAAAATGGAGTGCGATGCACCCTATGAAAGAAAACCAATGGAAAAGTAAGTTAAAAGTACAAGCTTATGACTGGACCAAATTTGCAGATAGATGCTCTTTATGGAAAACTCATATAGAGTATGTATAGTATCCATATAATGCTACATACAAGAAATGTTGTGTAGATTTATAATTAATAACTATATTGATGTACCTCTCAAACTAAGTCTAACATCTGTTCACTTCAGAAAGAAGGAATAATGACAAAGAAAATGGAATTCTAAGAAGTAAATTTAGCTGCAGCTCCATGAATCAATAACTGCTATAGAAAGGGAGCATTGGTAGTATCTTAATCAATCCTTGAATGGAAATTAGATGTGATAAAAAGGGAGATGCTGGGGCTTCATGAGATCTTCTTATAATAAAAATGTAAGAGCTCAAACTTAAAAGTAAAAAATGGTTCTTTGCTTACTGATCTGGCTTCAACTTATTCCTGCCAAGATCAAAAGCCTTGCTTGCCTGCCTTTCTGCAATGACAGGAATTTACTTGTTATGTTGTTGAAAAAGTTTTTACATGGCAAAGTTGCAGGGAAGAGCAATGAAACTTACGGTTTTCTCCTCTGGCCAGGACAGTTCCGAAACTTCGGACTGGTAAGTCGTCCTCCTTCAAGTCCTCCTGTACTTTTGAAAAAGAATAGATGATAAACAGAACCAAAAAATCGTTATTGAAAAAAAAATCAAATGTAGAGAACACATTAAGTATTAGTACAAACCTCACTAGCTTTAGTTCTCATTGAGCGGGCAAGAAATTTCTTGTAAGCATCCCTCAACTTCTCTATTGGTTGAGCATTACTAAAATTGCAGGAAACTTAATTAAATCAACACATGCATGCAAATTCACAACAATTATAAATGGATCAAAAAGGATGGATTTTTAGAACAATCATATGGCTCTCTTGTCAAAAACAAATTGGGTAGTGGAAATGGACATGTAATATGTTTCACCTTTGGGAACCTTACCTGGTGACTATTGGCTTCATAAAAGCGAATTAATCAAATGGATACAACAGCACATTTTTCAGTCCCTTGATGTTATTTGGGTTTGGAAGATATGATAGCTTATTTCAATATAAATTTAACGACCTAGGCACCCTATTTACATATGTTAGAGAAAAACCCAGAGGCCATTCAACCAATGCAGGGCATGACAAAAGCCAAGAACTCGTACAGACTAACAGAACATGTACCACTTGGCATAACAACAACTGACATACCAGAGAATTGGGGGTAGGAGGGGCTGACTCAATAAATATGAGCATAACAACAGCATCGTTCTTCAAAGTATAAGTTTGGAATCAGACCTAACCTTGTTGAAATGTTGGAAAAATAAAAACACTGTATAATCCATAACATAAGTACAGATAAATGGCTTATAATCTGGCACATGCAGGACCCACTCATTCAAATTATTAATTAATACTCAAATGCCTAAAACCTATTAGTTTAACGACCAGTTCGAACTTTTAACTTCGGCTGCTATTGCCAAAAAATCTACCAACAAACAAAGTAAACCTTGAGGAAAAAACATGCTTTACATAAAATGGAATGCACTACAGCATTCGTTGAATCAAATGAAAACATCAGATCACAAACCATCCAAACTCTTTCATCAAATTAAATATAGAAGACAGAATTTACCTGGACAACCCAAGATTGAATAAATCATTGGCTGCTTTCATCTTAGATTGGGATTCCATGTGCAAAGCATATGCCAAGTAGTATGCCGAATGTGTCTTCCCAATATCATTTGCATCAAGAAAACTATAAATGACCTCAGCATCACTGCAATGCTCAGCCTGCAATACCATTTGCCATTTGCATCAACTTTACAAACACTGATTCAACATTTTGAATTCAGAAAAAAAAAAAAGATGAATTACTGAGGTTTTTATTTGACATGTTGAATAGCATATTTACAATTAAATGGACAAGTGACCTAGCATAGATAAAACAAAATTTGAATTTCACAATCTGTATAAGATAATCAATAAGAAGGAAAGGTGAAAAGAACCCACATATTCCAACCAAACTTTGAGGTAGCGGAGATCATCCTTGTAACGATCTGAATGCCAGAAAGCACGAACACATTGCTCATAGATCAATACCAGTCCTGAGAAATCTCCACCAGGTGGGAATGCCTCTTGAACCCATTTTATACAACTTCAACCCGGAAAAAAAAAACAATAAGTCACAAAAACCTTTAACTATCTACTAATTCCAAACAATAACACCTTGAATCAACCCTATTACTTTACTACTTAATTTTCGCTATATTTGTACTCATAAGAATATATTTTAATTTGTTAATCATAAAAACAAAATTATATAAATTTCAATCATTCAAAACCCAAATTATTTCCATGATTTCATCCAACAACAATATTCAAGATTCAAATAAAGATGTTTAATGGGAAGAGTAGTTACTCAAGCCAAGGCTGGAGAGGATCATCTCCTGTATACTCGTCAATTGCCTCAATCAATCTCCTAAGGATTCAAGACAGAAAAAATACCCAGTTAAGAAAATGGGTCAAATATAAAAAGTAAGAGACTTTTTTTTAAATCAAGATAAAAGACAAAGATTTGGGAAGAAACCTTCGGTTTTCAAGGAGAGATTTCTTGAGCTGATCATTAGTGTGAGCTTTGAGAGCATGGTTTAAGAGATCAACATTGCGACCTCTCTTCAAGGGTCTCACGTTTTCTTTGAAGAGTTCCCATTCATTTCCGGTTTGTCGTTTCGATGTAAGGAACTCTGTCTCTGGATCCATGCGTTCTGCTGTTCTTGTTGCGCACAGATAGGGGAAAGAGCCGAGAAAAAGTAGATGATGATTCAAATTTTGAAATGGTACAGCCGCTCCTGCTCAAGTAGCCGTGACATGGGAATTTGGTTTTGGAATAAAATAACATGGGCTATTGGGTTGGGCTGGTCAGGCCATTACTCCTCTTACTGCGCTCTTAACTTTTTTTTTTTTTTCAAATACAAATTGAATATCAATCATTAAGTCTTACTTAGTATTAAATTTTGAGTACATTGAAAATTCAATGTCATGCGAGTTTAAAAGATTAACATATATATTTATTTTTTAATTATATTTTTTAATTTTTTTAATTATTTAAAAAGATATATATTATCCAATTAATTTTGTTTGTAAAATTTTAAAATTATAAATAAAATAATTTTTATTAAATTTTGTTATATAATAATTCAAAAAATGTTGCTTATAATTTTAATGAGTGTATTTTTTTAGGCGTGTGCATTGATAAAATAAATTTTTAATTGATTTATATGTTTTCAAGGATCAAGTGTGCGAATCAATAAAAAAAAAATCATTGTGCATTTTATCTACCAGGGTAGAAGAGAAATATTAAGAGATTTTTTCTTATTTTACACTACAATTTCAAAATAAAAGGAAAAGTAACCAATTCATTAAAATTACCTTGGCGATATCTTTTTAATCTTGTGAGCAAATAAAATGTCAATTTTTAAAATAAACAATATATCATATGATTTTTTTAATAAATTATTGATTTATTTAATTAAAATTTTATTTGATATACTATGTGTTTAATAATTTCTCTTAAAAAAATTAAAAATAAATAAATTGCCCTGATCCAATCTTCAAATTAAGTTTGAATCAATAATTTTTTGTTTTTTATATTTAAATTTATCAAAAATTAAATTTTTAATATTTTATTCTATATAAAACCATGCCAAACCACTGTTGACTACAAATCTTTATTCACTTTGCCAAAAAACTTAATATTTTGATAATACAAAAAAATAAAAAGAATTATCAATGTTGAGTCCAAAATCTCTTACATCAAAACAAAGAACTAATCAATTATCCAAACCTTTGGTAATTATATTCATCTGTTTATCCAAAAAAAGCCACAAAATCCAAATAAACAAAAAAAGAAATAATTCTCAGTTGCACTCTTGGTCCTACGCACCAACATGACAACAACAAAAATTGGCTTCCGTTTGCGGCGTGTCTAAACTTGTGTGAAATGTGGATATGGCAGCATTTTTTTTTTTTTTTTGGTTCAAAGAAAAGCAAACGTCCGTATAAAGGGAAATGGGAATGACAGGATTAAAATTCACATTCACATATTTTTTTTAAAAGTCTCTTAATCATTAAGTCAAGATGAAAGATAGGTATGACAACATTAATTATTTAATATTCGTCACTTGTCTTGAACTTCTCGCAATTCGTCCAAACTAGTTTGTTGTTAGGAGAATTTGAAAAAGGTGCCTTGAAATGCAAATTTTTATTAATTGATCTAATAAAAAATAATTAATGCAAGAAAAATGTTAAGTTGAGAATTTAACGGAAATGAAATTGTTTTTATCATTTTACATTATTCACTAATACATGTTAGACTTCAAAAATTTTATTTCTTCTTGAAATATCTCAATCTCAGGCACCAATTTTGCTCTGCTTATTAAACTATTCATATTCAACTTACATCACATTTCAACATATTCCAATCTCAGGCACAACTATAGTGGCATAACCTAAACCAAATCCACCTCATTTGTCAGGCAAGATTCTCTTATCCCTCGATCATATCCGTTCTTAACTAAAATGAAGTCTTTTCTCTTTTCTTTTTTCTCTTCTCATAAAAGAATCATGGGCTTAGATGACAAAAGTTTAGAAGAAAAAGTATTGATTTGTTTCTCATGTGAGTTGTGATTTTCTTCTCAATCTAACTTTTTCCCTTCTTCTTCGATCCCTTATTTATTTAGGTTTTGAGAAATTTTAGGAAAGAGATGGAAATGATATCTTAAATACATGTTAATTTTTTTTTTTTTAGTTTTGACTATTGAGAAAACATTTGAGTACAATGCTATTTTTGAGTGTAATTATATTAGTCAATTTTGATTTTCCAATTTAGTTTTTTTTTTTATTGTTCTACACTTTTCTATGGCTAACTATATCATATTACATTAGTGATTGTTTGAGTTATCATATTAAATGCATTTTTGTTTGAGTTATTAAACTTTGTTAGAAGTTTAATTAAGAATTATAAGCAGTTCTTATGAGGATATAAAAGCCCTAATTCATTTGAAAAAGCAAACGAAGAGACTAAAGCTGTGTCTTGTATCGAGAGAATATTTCATTTTCGTAAGAAAACTCATGGAAAGCGTGAAGATATTAATGAAAGGATGCCCTATAGATGATATGAAAATGCCTAAAATTTGTTTGAACCAACAAAGGAATAGATTGAGGCTTTTGCTCAAACAATCTGTAGATTGTCATACTCATGATGAACAAATTTTGGAATATAGTATTTTTCTCATTTGAATTGAGTGTGAGAATCAAAGATTGTTGAACTTTTGAGTATTTTTTTTTTGAATACTTAATTTCACATGACATTAAACTTTCAGGGACCACTCCACTAAAGAAGATTCAAAACATGAGAAACCAATTTCTTTGCTAGTTTCTTGGTCGATGCTTATTTCTTAGATATCCTTTTCAAGCTTTAGATAGTTTAAATGGTTATGATGATGAACTTTAGTCGAATTCATGCCTTTTTTTAGCAGAAAATGGTATAAAGGTCAAACTTTTGTATAGTTCTTATGGTTCTTGCCTTTTGGTTTTGTGAAAATTCAATTATAAAAGGAAACAATGAATAACTTTGTGAGCTATAAATTGCCACATACAAAAAGTATTGAAGTTCATTTGTTAAATAATTGTAAAATCTATAAAAAATTAAAATAATACAAGGTTTCAAATTACAATTTGTTAATTCATGATCTGACATTATTAGATGCTTTAAAAGTTCACGTGCAAATTGTAGGCACTGAGATAAAAGGATTCTAAGCAACTCTTCACCATTATATGGCATATAGAATTCAAGATCATGCCATAAATTTACCTCTTTCTCACTCTGATAATGTTGTGCATATAAAGATGCAAGCAGCAGAAAAAAATCCCAAACATATTCATATTCCAAAGCAAATCTTCAATGAAAAACTTGCCACACTACTCCTCAAGTCATGGATAATAAGTTAGCAAAAAATTTGAAAAAAAGATGAACCCATTCAACACTTTGATCCTACCTATAAGACAAATCATGATGGTATTATGATAATTGAATTTGATCACAGCAAAAGAAAAGATGTTCCTTCTCTAACAATTTTTTTGACACAATTCATGATGCAAAGATATCAAGCTGAATCAAATATTCCAGTCACACACTTCAAGTTTGATAGAAAACTTGTATATGTATACAAATCTCCATAGTCATTAATGATCGTCTTGGTAGCATTGTTACAATTTCATTTTAGTTACATGCTTTGATATAAGGTGGCCTTTGGAACTTTACCATCAATTAAATTACATGAAACGTGAATGCAAGAAATGTGATTACTGATTGTATGGAATTAAAATGTTGCGAAGATAATATTGATGCTTTTGGTATATATGATAAAGTGTTAATTAAAATGCAGAAAATGTAAGATTACAATGTTTGGTGAATTATCACATCACTAGGAATGTAATATAAATTTCTCAAATCGCTTAAATTGCCTTTATGTATCAAAACAAGTTATTTATTTAAACTAGTAATTTTGATAATAATATTTATATTTATATGCTAATTCAATACTTTTAATAATTTGAATATAATAGCTTGTATTTTAACAAAATATTAAACATTATCATCCATTTTTTTATAATTTTTGTGTAACTAAATGGTTCTATTACATCTTATAATTTTTTTACAACTAGATGGTTCTATTACACCTTGAACATTATGCAACAATAATAATATATGGACAATAACATAATGCAACAACTAGATAGTTCTACCACAATAATAATATTATGCAATAACAATAATACAACAACAATAACCAATGCCAAGTAAAATAGCAAGTAAACTGTTATTTTCTTGCAACTAGATGGTTTTACACTTAAATCATTTAACTATCTTTCGGGATGGTTAATACTTTCAATAGTTGATATTTTTTCACTATCATAATCATTCATTTATGAAATTGTGTAAAACTTATTTAGTCTGGGCTCTACTAAAAAATGATTCATGGATAGCTTCTCTAAAACCATGAACTTGTCTTTGAACTTCTAGCTAAGTGTTATAAATGCTTAGTTTATATCCAATATACACTATGTATGTCTTTGTCATATATGATAAAAGCAATAATAAAAATTTTAGAATGAAATTTGATAAATGTTTATCTAGCTTATTTTAAGTATGTTAGTGATTCCACCCTTAATTTGGCTTTCAAGTATGTTTAATTTTTTTTTTTAAGATCAATATAAACACAACAATCTAGCTAACAAATTGGGGAACAATAATGAAAAACAAAAAACAACCAGTAATATCAAGACAAAGTTTATTACATATTCAAACCCAATATTAGAGACAATTGATGTAACAATAAAAAATGACACAACAATTAAGTGATATAACATACATAAAACAATCAATATAGCAAAGAGACAAACAGGTTATGCACAAAAACTCAATATCATTCGCTAAAGAATTTAAAGCAAAAAAAAATTCAACAGCAAAAATAGATCAATAGATCTATGTTTATTCTTGGAGTTTAAAGGTTTTTAGGTTTTGAAATTTGAAATTTATTTCTGTTTTGGGTATTATAATTGGTTTAGGGTTTTTAGGTTTTCTAAGTAACAATCAATAAATCTAAATTTAATTAACACACCTGCACTTTAAATCAACAGATTCAAGCTAAAAATAACAGACTCAAGCTTAACAAATTGACAATAACAGTTTCTCTAAACCTCAAATAAAAAAATGAAAGATCTTATAGATTTCGCTAAAATACGACAAAATAAAAATTGAAGTGACAACAATAAACAAACCCTAGCAATGCGACTAGAGATGCAATAATGGAAAAGCAAAAGAGA